TTGACATGACTTTAAATTTTGTTGTTGACAAATATTTTTTCTAATAAAAATTGATCCTTAAGTGCATTGTCAATGGCAGATTTAGACTCTGCGTTCAGTCTAGAACATTCTTTCTTCTTAGGGTGTGTTCGATTGCAAGGGTGGAAAATGGGTGGAAAGAAAATGTATTACAGGGAAAAAATTTGCGTACAAAATGTTTTATAGGGAAAATGATTTCAAGTGTGCTTGATTGGTATAATTTTCCACCCGAAAAATTTTTAAATTTTCTATTCGTTTGGGTTTATTTTACATGAAAATTGTTCATTAAAGTGATAATTTTTTCCACGCTTGATTATAAAATTTGTTTACATCGCCAAAAAGTAAAAAAAAATGAAAAAAAATGTTTCCTAAAAATTCTTTTTTTAATCAAAGTTTAAAGTTCGTTTGGCCTTCGTTTGCATCAAAATTGTCCATGAAACTGAAACTTTTTTTTTACACTTTATTATGAAATTTGTTTCTATTGCTTGCCTTTCACGCCTGGAAGTAGGCGCGTAGGTGGAAAAAAAAGTGGTAATTTCCATGGCAAAAAATAGCTATAAAAAAACACATTTGCAAAGAAAAGGAAAATATATTCCATTTTCCATGGAAAATAGGTGTTATCAAATACACCCTAAAAAAAAAAAAAAAATTAAAACATCAAAACCTATAAAACCAAGCCCGACATCAAGCACCAATTTGATTTCCAAACCTCTAATGTTCCCAAATCGCTGAATTTGTGATTTTTCTCAAAAACCCCACCCAAATCTTCTTCTTCTCCATAAACCAGTAACAAATCTTCATCTTCTCGTATTCCCAGTTGATGTAGCCCAAAACCCAAGAGCGTACTGTCAACGTCTCGAACAATTTGTAGCCCAACGACGACCTTGCTTTTCAAATTTTCGAAAAAGGAAGATCAGAATGGAATTCCAAGTGACCGTGAGAGGGATGCAGATCCATTGGATTCTGATACAGAGGACAATGGCAAATTAGGAAAAAATCTGGAGCTTAAATGTACGGTGTTTGTAGAACGATTTGCACATGATCATGATAATGATCCAAGAGATTCTTATGGGTTTTAATGATCATGATAATCAATTTGGTGTTTGATGTCCAGCTTTGTTTTATGAATTTTAATGTTTTAAGCTTATTTTATTTTTAAGTGGTAAAAACGTGTTTGTTGGTTGAAATCGTGTCCCATTGTACAAAAAAATGGTTTCAGTTTTTGTAATTTTTTAAATAATTTAATATATGACTTGAAAATTATGAGTGTTGTTGCAAGCTGTTAATCGTCACATAAAAAAATCGTTCTTTACATAGGCAAAATATTTAATAAATTTTAAGAAGTGTTGAATGAAGTGCAAACGAGATAAGTTCAGTGAGCAAGTTGAAGCATTTTATAATTCAGTGAGTAGTTCGTTATCAATATATACGTTCAATAATTATTCAAACATTTCACTCTTAACTTGCTTATTTTTAAATAAGAAATTTATTTATTTCTTTATAATTTTAAAGAATAAACTTTTTTTTTTCTTTTCTTTTATCATTATAATTTTTTAGTTTAGCCGAACACAACGTAATTTTGCTTGGAGCAGCGCCATGGACGAAGAAGAGAAGGGTTTATTCTGGAAGCTACCGGTGATGAAGTCGAAGCAATTGGGCAAGCTTGGCCCTGCTTTTGGCATCGGCGCTGGTTGCGGTTTCGGTTTTGCTGTCGGCCTCGTTGGAGGTGACAGTCCAATTTCCTTAAACTGTAATCTAGATATTGAACGCTGCTTGACGAGAAAAAAATTGAATATATCTATCTAATTGTTTACTAATTCTCTCTCTGTCATTTCAAGGTGCGGGGTTTGGCCCGGGAATTCCAGGGTTACAGCTGGGGTTTGGATTTGGAGCTGGATGTGGGATTGGGTTGGGATTCGGGTACGGTGTCGGCAGGGGCATTGCATACGATGAGAATCGCAGATACTCTAACGTCGGAAAGCTTTTTAATGACCGTGGAAATCTTCATACTCAGTGAGCCTGTTTATTCTTATGCACTTTATTTTTAGCATGAATTATGTATAATTCTACTTAGTATTATGGTTGTAAACAATATTAAGTTGGGAGAGGCCGGGTGATCAAGACTGGGTCTTAAATAATTTCTGAACAGAAAAATGTATCCGAAGAAATGAGTAATTCAAGAGAACATAAGTATACTGTATCATTAAATGTGCCTAAACTGGTTTTATTTAGTTGAGAACTAACAAAACCATCAATAAATTACAAAAATATGATTGCTACGGTTGAATTGTTTCACGCATGCCATGTTTAGCTGACACTTAATCCTTGTACATATGCTGTTTTTATTTCTCTGCTTGTGCCAAGTACTGGATTTATAATAACTTATTGTTTATAATTAATATTTTGACTAATTCTTTTGGATTTTGAATCCACAAGAATCCTTCCTTCATTCATGCGTGCCTTTTCTCCTTTTCATTGGGGGATGGGGGATCGTATGGGGGATGAGGAGCCACATGTTTTAGGCTATTTTTTGAGGGACTAAAGTTTATTGGTTTCCCCTTTATAAATGAGGTCTTTATAGACTCATGAAATGGTTTAATGGAACTTCATGAGTTTAAATAACAAGATTGGAGATTAAGCTGGACCTAAAGAATTGATGAATTGGTTCCTAAATTCATAATGGAGCAAGGTTTTAAATCATTAGTGGTATGGGACTCGCTAGGTTGGAGCACAATCAACACAAATTTATGGAATAGGTTATTAAATGTGATTATGATTAGTAGTAATACGTTATTACCATTCTTACTTGTTTTGACTGTTACACCAGCACCAATCTTGTGATTGGAGTTTGTCTACATTTGATTGGTATGGAGTTGGTTGATTGTGGTGGTATAGTTCATCCTGGTAGCGAATACAGCGTATTTGTCACTATGGTGGTAGTAATAGTTGTACAAATGACTTCTGTAAGGTAGGGTTGGTGGCGGTTAGCAATTGACATAAAAGTGTTGGTCGTACATTTTGCCCTTGTTTGGGTTCCATTAAAATCAAATTTCGGGGAAAAATGTATTTTGGAAAAGTGATATTTTGAAGAATGTGTGGTTAAAAAAAAAAGGAAAAATTTTGAATCTACGTGTGATATTATTTTATTGAAAAATGTTTGGTTGAAAAAAAAGAGAGAAAAATACATTTTCATTTTAATGGAGGCCAAACATAGGCTTACACAATGACTCGTAACTAAAATGTTGGTAAAATACTTTTCTAAATTAGCATAAAATCAATTGTTTTAGAATATTCTGCTTAAACTTTAACTCAACTAAATAAGAAATGGAAAATGCTTTCCCGAAAATGTTTTATTCATGCTTAACTAGCTGATTTTGGAATAAAAAATACACTAGAATTTGTGAATATTGGCACTCTTTTCCCTAAAAAAGTTCCAATGTAATCGAGAAACCTAGGTTTGCTGAAATGAGGATATGTTGTTTTAGAATTTGATATCATACAACAATTGTAAATATCATGAATGGGAACCTTTGGTTTGGCTCAATATTGGCGAATATAGATTTTCACTATGTAATCGAGTAACCTAGCCACCATTTGCTCTATGGCTGCTCTTTCAGGGAGCACAATTACCATAAATACAAGTGACCAAATTCAGGCACTTTTGGATAAGGACCCGACTACTCATATTTGGTCGACCTCATCAAGCAAAGCAAAACTCTTCAGTTCTGGCTCGATGGAGGCCTAGTGAAGACTAAGGGAGATTGCCTATATGTTCCTAAGGGTGGAGATTTGAGGAAATCACTAATTACGTAATGCCACGGTACGATTTGGGCTTGGTATCCTGGAGTGGAACACACTTTTGCACTATTACAACGTGCGTACTATTTGCCTCAAATGCGGAATGACATTGCAACTTATGTGAAAACCTGTCTTATTTGTCAACAAGATAAGACAGATCATCAGTAAAAGACAGGCTTGCTTGAGCCCCTTTCCGTCCTAACTAGGCCATTCGAGAGTGTATCGATGGACTACATTGTTGAATTGCCAAAAGTTGGAGATTTTGGCACTATCATCGTCGTGATAGACCGTCTATCAAAGTACGAACTTTCATTGCAGCGCTCAAGTATGTATCTGCTGAAGAGACGGCTCAACTCTTCTTCAAATCAAATACTGTAGGCTGCCTAAAGACTCGTCAATGATCGGGATCCTCGATTTATTGGCATGTTTTGAATCGAGTTGTTCAAACTTCTTGGTTCAACTTTGAGCACGAGTTCTAGTTTTCACCCACAATATGACAGACAGACGGAGCTCTTCAATTCTATGCTAGAAGAATATTTTCGACACTTTATCTCTACTTCGCAGAAAAATTGGGAGAAACTTTTGGATTGCTGCTCAGATGTGTTTCAATGCCCAAAAACGCTCTTCCACCAATAAGTGCTTTTGAGATTGCTACTGGCCAGCAATCGTTACTCCCTCATACTGTGGATATCGATCAAAGTATCAAGTCCCCTCAAGTAAAAAGCTTCTCTCAAGAGTGGAAANCAAGAGTGGAAACGAAATATTGAAATTGCTCAGAGTTATCTTGAGAAAGTCAAAAAATGGTATAAAAAGTTTGCATATTTAAAGCGCCGTTTCTTTGAATTTAATGTTGGAGATCTGGTAATGGTCAAACTTCCATACAGAAACTGTTATAAATCGACAAGAGAGGAAGACTCAAGATTGGTGCCAAAATATATTAGGCCATTACCCATTGTGAAGAGGATTGGGAGAGTTGCATACAGAGTTGTGCTCCCTTCATGGTGCAAAATTCACAAGGTCCTTCATGTTGTCATACTCAAGCCATACTTTGCAAACAAGGAGGACGCATCCAGAAATGAGCCAAAGCGACTTGTGTTTGAACTGAGAAAAGCCAGAAAGAAGGTTGCTGAAGCTATACTAGGCCATCGAACTACTCGAGCTTCTAGGAAGTATCATCAAGAGTAATTGGTCAAATGGAGTGGATGCAGCAGGGAGGAGAATACTTGGGAAATAGAAAAAGACCTTGGAGCCTTCAAACCATTAATTGAAGTATACCATGCATCGATGGCACCGAGGACGTCACCGAAACAAACGGGGGAGAATGTCAAGGACCGCGCTTTACTTAGCCCCTTGACCCAATCACAGCCGCAGTTTGCTCAATTTCGACCGCACATTGTAAATATTAGTTCAGTTTGAATTGTAATTTCTTTTCTATTGTAATAGTTTATTTCAATTGTAAAATAGCTCTGATATTGGTAAATGTTTAGTATGATTCTTCGTCTTTTAAATATCTACTCCTATCACTTAGGTTTTTGTTCCGCAAGCTATTATAAGGGTCTTAGTCATTCAAAAATCTTTCAAGCTTACTGGTGTTCACCCCCTGCACCAGCCATTGTAATTTTCTGCTTTTATCAATTGCAATTTTCGTTTTCATCAATTAATGATCAATTTACTTTCAATGCAAGCTTTCTACAAATTGTGATCAAATTTTTTTCGTCCGAAACAATCGAGAAAATGTGGAAGGTAGTCTAGCGGAATAGAGTACTGCTGCACGGTGTTCCTTTTTGTGAACAAGAAAGGCACCCCGTGAAACCTATTGTGGTTACTAAGGACTAGTTGCTTTGGATTCCAATAGATCTAGCAATGGATGGAATGGAGTTGTGAGAAAGGATACTTGTAGCTGATCCCACATTTATTTGGAACAAAGTTTATTTTGTTGTTGTTCTTATGTATTGAGTGGAAAGAAAGGTAAAATATTGTTGATTTAATGTGTACCTGTGTGTGCCTATGTGGGGAAGGATGCTTACGGATTCAAAATGTTGAAGATAGAATGAAATGCAAATTGTTCTTTACCAAGTAGGTGGCTTTGGTGTTTCCTACTATGTTTGAAAGTTATACTTGTTATAGCTGGATGGTTGAGGGACCTCTGTTTATTTGAAATGGTTTGCTTTTCACTTCAAGAAAGAAATATAATCAATTCTTACATGAGATGGCTTAAGTAGTAAGTTGAGTCTTGCCGATCGTTAATTTACTGGTTATGGTTACTGTCTATTCAACAAAAATTTTTAGGTAGATCTATCACAATGGTAAAATCAATGGCCCAGGCTTGAGAAAATTGCATCTGAGAATTTGAGGGCAGATAATTATGTAAAGTATTGATCAGATCAGATAGTGTTGTTCAAGTAATGCCAATAGTCAATGCAACAGCCTCCTGCAATAGTCTCACCGCAAGTGTCAAAGTCGATGATGAATTTTTGGTGTTACTTATCTATGAACTAAGTGTAAGTTTTTATAATGTTATGATGAGATAAGCTTTTGGATATTTACCTATTTTTCCTTTATGGTTTGGTGTATTTTTTCCTGTCTTCATCATTTCCTTATTATCATATTTAAATACTGTTGGTTGCACCTCGGATTTGGAATTTTGACGTTGTCCTTTTGTTTTCATAAAGATTTCCAAGTATGCATATGACATATTACTTTTATTATCACATGAATAAGAATTATGGAGTGCAAAGCTCCCAAAATAATTATTTTCTCCAGATTAGATGACCAAGACCCTAGGAAGTCCTCAGGCAATTTGACTTGGAGTGACTATAAAAGGGGATCAAGTGGATGGAATACACAGTTTATTATACATCATTAAGTTCTAGGATGTTTTCTGTTTATAAATTGTGTATTAGATATTTACAGATGTTGGAATCTACCTTCTCATTTACTAGAGACAGTTAAACTATCTCCTAGTAACCAGCTGAACTGATATAACAGTTTGTCTGATAGAATATTTTTTACAATTGTTTTGAAGTTTGCTTGGTTCTGTCTGATCTAACTATATTTAGAATCTTGTTAGAACTACGCTATTTCTAGATAAACTTCAATCCACTCAAGGGCATAAATTGGTATACAGGGCAACTCTGTAACTATGGTAGCATGTCTATGTCGGACTCGTGTTGGATGCCGACACTCCTCGAACACTGTGCCATGGTCTTTTTTTTTTTTCTCCTTTATTAAAATATATAATATTTTTAACTCAAAGTTATTATTAAATAACAAATAGGTATTCATATTTAAAAGATTTTGACAAGAAAAATTAATAACAATTATAAAACTAAATTTATACTATATAAATGAAGAATCCTAATTTTAATTTACGTTTTGAAGACGTGTCGCTTTAGTACTTTTTTGAAAAATTACCTTAAGCCAGCTAGATTACAAGATTGCTTAGTCTCATAAAAGTGTAGGTCTTTTTGTCATATGTGCATATTTACTTGAACATATGGAGTCAGTTAGGTTAATGGTTTCTCAAGGTACTGTCTGGGGATAAAACAACAAGTTTTAAGTACAAGTTCTTGGTCTTTGCATACACAGTGTGAGAATGCCATTTCCTGCATTAGGTTGTTCCATTGCTGGAGTTAGATCTAATCTAGTAATGAGATGATCACTAAGTTTAGCAGTCAAACTTGGTATAGGATCAAAAACATCAATAGATGTACCAGTTCCATGAGATCAGGCTCTATGGGAAATAACTTGTTTGGGCAGAAGCCTTAGGACCTGTGACTGTGTAAACACTAAATCGGGTCTGCATGGGAAATTTGATTATTTTAAGCATTGGCAACGTCTTTGACCAATTATGTAATCAATCCCATGTAGGGATATTTGACATTAGCCACAAATATATGTGACTTTTTTTATGTTAAATGTAAAAAAAAAGTCTGGCAACTTACCTATCTAATATGATGTATCTTAAATAGTACTTGAAGTTCAACTGATATGGTCATCAACTGTCCAACATTCTCTTTTCTAGAAGATTGATTGCAAAAGTAAATTGACTAGACTGTACTTTAGGAAATTGTGACTGAGTTTGTGAAGGATTACATAAAAAATAATGTAACATCAAATATTATCTTGTAAATTATGCCATGCGCCTACTTGGTCACCTTCCGTAGAACTCTTGATGTTGGCGTCAATGCAGATATGACTGTTGTCTGTTAATTATGGATACACTAACAGTTATATTTTGTGATGTTGTCATTAAATAGGATATTAATCTTTTCCTCACGTTTTGCTTTATGGGTTGCCAGATTTTCTTGTTTATACCCTTCATAGTTCCCCGATCGTCTTAACAAAATGTACATTGGACTTGTATCGTTTAAATGTTGAACTCTGTATTTTATATTGAAAATTAATACATTTATGCCATCCTGCTAGTGTAGAAATCTAAATTAAAAATATAGTGGCAAAGCTCCCAAAAGAACTGTGTTGTCTCCTGATGGCAAAGAAACAACAGAATCCCATCGGTACTCCTTTTAGAGTGACGAGTTGAGTGACAGTTGGATGAGAAACAAAGTCAGTCATACAACTTAAGTTATAAGACTACATCCATTTATATATAGAATGAAGTCATAAACTGCTGACACTGAGTATGAGTTTGTCCCTGAGAGAAGACCCCTTGAATCATTGATGAGTTAATCTGATTGTTGTTACATTTGTTAAGTTAAATTAGTAACAGATTCTACTTTTATTCTATATTCTAGACTGCAGTTTTCTACTACCCTGATAAAAACTTGTTGATGGCAGGGATGAAATTAGCAGCCTCATCGATGAGATAGTTGTGAATACGAAGAAGCTAATGAAAGCAACTTCCAAAGAGGTGGAGAAATGGAGAAGATAGTCTGATGTACAATGTCCTTACAGTTGAAACAATATCCAGCTAGATTAGTTGAGTGCTCAAGTAAAAGAAATGCTGTCCTTGGTGATGTATCATGTATGTAATATCCATAACGGGAACGTGCTTGCTTTGATATTTGGCTACTGATTGCTATAGTTATCTGTTTCCAAGTGATGGTTAGGTTTCAAATACTACTCATCTCGCCATGTTTGGCAGATATTTTTTAGAATATATTTTGTGGAAAGTGATTATTTTGAAGATTGTGTGGTTAACAAGTAAGGAAAGTTATGGATTCACATGTAAAATTATTTTATAAGGTGTAATTGAAAAAGAGTGGGTGCAAAAAATGAATTTTTGAAAATGGGCCAATCAAGAGCTTACTTAGGGTTTGTTCCTATTTTTGGAAGGATGTATTTTGTAATAGTGAATTTTTGGGAACATTTAAAAAGCTTTGAATTTACATATACAATTATTTTATTTGAAAAATGTGAAGTTGAAAATGAGTTTGAGAAAAAAATGAGTTTTTAAACAAAGAGGCTCTTACAAGTACTTGCATTGTTAGGAAAATAGAGTTCATTAGAGTTGGAACATAGTTCAGTGTGAAAAATTATTATACTTGCATTGTTAGGAAAATAGAGTTCATTAGAGTTGGAACATAGTTCAGTTTGAATGGTTTGTGAAAAATTATTATACTTGCATTGTTAGGAAAATAGAGTTCATTAGAGTTGGAACATAGTTCAGTTTGAATGGTTTGTGAAAAATTATTAAATCAAATCATTTAAAGCGGTTTAAATCTTTTCAAGTCAAATCAAATCACTTTAATTTCTAAATCAAATCAAATCGAACTACTTTTTTCAATTTGGTTCGATTTTAAAATTATGGTTTAAAAAAAAATTAACATATATCTAACAAGTGAAATCATAAACATTATTTTAAAATTTCACGTGAAAACATAAATAATATCATTACAAATATTAAAAATTAAAGTCCTACACTTCTAATAATTAAAGTACAATAACATGATATGAACATTTTAATTATAACATCTTAATCTAGGGTTGTAAGAAAAAACCTCCAAACCGGAAAATCGAACCGAAACCGCAATTTCGAAACCGACGGTTTGGTGCCACGTGGATCCGTCAACAAAATGATTTTGAACCAAACCAAACCGATCAAAAAGGGTTTGGTTTAGGTTTGGAAATTTTAATTATGGTTTGAAACCAAACCGGACCGGCGAAAATATATAAAATAAAAAATAAAAAATTGATTTTTTTTTTAAATTTATCCAAATTTTCAATTTTGTAAAATTGAATAATTTTGTCATTTTGTAGGTATTTTTGTCAATTTCTAATTTCCTATTAATTGTTAAGATTTACGATTCGCCCAAGTCTAATTATATATAAAAAAGGTTCAAATTTCAAAGAAATAGCACTAAACAGCCCAACCCAAGTCCATATACTCACAAGTCACAACCCTAATATTCTAATTTTCATTTCTCTCACTCGCAACTCGCTGGTCGCAGCCTCGCTCCCCGTGGCGCCTCCTGATTTCCCCCAAATCGTCAACGCTCTCGAAATCTCGAACCTCCCAGTCGCCGGTAGTGTACGTCGTCGGTATTATTAGACTATTTCAGGTTCTTGCATATTTATTTGGTCGTGAGTAAGGCTTAAAATTGAAATTTTGTCACTTGCTAGTTGAAATATGTTTACATATTTATTGATCGTGAGTAAGGTTTAAAATTGAAATTTGGGCTATCAGGTGCGCAAAAGACATTTGTTTACATATGAGAGAATATGTATAATTCCGTTTTAAATTGCAGAAGATGAAGGTGGATATATATAGTGGAATGTGGGAGAAAAAAATATTTGTAGCTTGTCTTTTGGAAGCCATTATTAGATGGATCCGTGTCTTAATTCTTTTTTTTT